ATCTAGTCAAGCATAAGACTAAACTGGAAAAGGTTCAAAGGTTTGCCACCAGACTAGTACCCGAGCTGAGAGGTATGAGCTACGAGGAGAGACTTCGGGAATTAAACCTCACTTCGTTGGAAGACAGAAGAGTTAGGGGGGGACATGATCACCACATTCAAGATTCTCAAGGGAATCGACAGAGTTCATAAAGACAGGCTATTTAACACAAGGGGCACACGCACAAGGGGACACAAGTGGAAACTGAGTGCCCAAATGAGCCACAGAGATATTAGAAAGAACTTTTTTAGTATCAGAGTGGTTGACAAATGGAATGCATTAGGAGGTGATGTGATGGAGGCTGACTCCATACACAGTTTCAAGTGTAGATATGACAGAGCCCAATAGGCTCAGGTACCTGTACACCTGTTGATTGACAGTTGAGAGGTGGGACCAAAGAGCCAGAGCTCAACCCCCGCAAACACAACTTGGTGAATACACACACGCACACACACATAGGTGTGTGACGAGGTGGCCGAGTGGTTAAGGCGTTGGACTGCTAATCCAATAGGGTCTCCCTGCGTGGGTTCGAATCCCATCCTCGTCGTAGCAGTGTGGCTATATTTTCCCAGTTTCAAGTGTAGATATGATAGAGCCCAATAGGCTCAGGAACCTGTATACCTATTGATTAACAGTTGAGAGGCGGGACCAAAGAGCCAGAGCTCAACCCCCGCCCCAAGCACAATTAGGTGAGTACACACACACACACACACACACACACACACACACACACACACACACACACACACACACACACACACACACACACACACACACACACACAATCACACTAAAACCTTTAACTAAAGATAATTTTTAAGTCACTTAAAATACAATCATTCACGTATGATTATCATTAAGAGAAGTCGTAATGATAATCATACAACATTATACATCCACCATCATCAAGCCATAAGGTGAAGCTAACCCCCCAGAGAATCACACAAAAAAGTCACACCCAACAAATGATATATTCACCGCAGAATTGTGTTCAGAACACGGAGTGGAAACACATATTTAAAAATTTTTGCCAGTCACAAATTTTTAAATTTTCACTCAGGTTTGCGGCCCCCCCCCCCCCTAAAAAAAAGTATATTGCGGTTTGATGTTTTATTGGCATATCTGCACATTGTAGAGCGAGTTTTTAAAACCATTGTTTTCCGGAAAGATGACCATTTGCTAATTAAAAAAAAAAAATTCAATGCTCGGTGTCTATTGAAATCATTATTTTATTGCGGTTTTTAAGTTTATATTTTTATATTTTAATATTCATCTATTACCAAACGACTCGTACAAGTATTAACTCCTAAGTGATTGTTGTAACTATTGGTGGAGAGTAATTAGCTAGTATAACTATGCAGTCGTACTGTGTTAGCTTCGGTAACGTAACTATGGTATTGTAACTACCGTAGCAAAGCAATCGTAATGTAGAGCTTAGGTATCGTAGCTCTGTTTCAACTCCATAGAGCCCTGTCATGCAGAAAATTAAAGTTAACATGTTAATATATTACTGAAGTTAGTCGTGGGGGCATAAGCCCAACATGTTCCTGCCGAGCTATGTGTCTGAGACCACGGTAAGACCTGAGAAATGAGGAAGCTCTATCTAAGCCTTTATATCTATATAGAGCTTTAGAAGGTCTAGGAAGATAAAGAGCTGGGATACGAGGACCGGATAAGAGCAGGGATATATACCTGGAATTATATAGTTGGGATATGAGGGGCGGAGTGAAGGAAGTGGGAGCAGGCACTTTGACCCTATATGAAGCGAGACAAGACCCGCGTTCGATCCCCCGATGCTCCAAGTGATTGAATCTCATCCTTATGACCCAAGTCTTATTTTATCATCATATCCCATCTGTTAGTATGTCGTATGTCTTTCAAAGTATTGTACAGTTATGCGGGCATCTTCAATAGAATTTAATTACTTTGTTTCAGCAACGAATCAAAGTGTTAGTCATTCCAGCTTAACAAATTATCCTCATAATTGCATACTTTTGTCTGTGTAAATCTGTGCATGACAGACCCTGAAGGCTGCCAGGAACATTTCTTATGGCGTTAATTTTTAAGAATCCACACTGCAACCAGCATTTCTTGCTTTAAACTGTGTGTAGCAATTGTTGCAATTATCAAGCCCAGTGAGAGAAAGTTAAAAATAGACAGAGATATATAGGAAGTGCAAGAGTGAGAGCAAGAGAGAGTGAGAGCAAGAGAGAGTGAGAGCAAGAGAGAGTGAGAGCAAGAGAGAGTGAGAGCAAGAGAGAGTGAGAACAAGAGAGAGTGAGAGCAAGAGAGAGACAAAGAGAGAGAAGAGCAGACTCTCATCTTCACTAATTGTCTGGCCAGCATTATTACCTCACACAGGCCAAGATCATCATCCAAGATCATCATCATCAAGAGCATCTACGGGCTCACCATAGCCCGTGCTACTTGGAACTTTGTTCCAGGTAGCGAATCTTTAACAACAACAACATCAATTCTAGAGGCCCGCGGCAGGAGGCCCTAAGAATTACACCTGTGCATATATCCTCCACTGGAACCTCTTCCTACAGCGACCTGCAGGGGAAGTTAGTCCCCTCCCCCCCCCCCTAGCCCTGAGCTGTCCCTATCTTCCGCTGGAACTTAGACCTATCCCAGTTACTCTTATCTGATGCTACAGATGGATGCCTGAGGTGGGACTTTTCCCTTTTTCTGTACCTCACTAGATAACGTTGGGAGATCTATTAACGTCACCTTACCTACCTTGAGGTTACCTTGAGGTGCTTCCGGGGCTTAGCGTCCCCGCGGCCCGGTCGTCGACCAAGCCTCCTGGTTGCCGGACTGATCAACCAGGCTGTTGGACGCGGCTGCTCGCAGCCTGACGTATGAGTCACAGCCTGGTTGATCACGGGGGAAAGAAGAAATAGTAGTAGTGGTAGTGAAGATTATGGGGGGAAGTGGCCGATTGAGAAATATCCTGGAGTACATATTCTTTTTTTTTGGGGGGGGGCTTGGTTGATAGGGGGGTGGTGACCCCTCTATATGTATAGAGGGGATATAGAAATCTCCTCTATATCTACCGGGTGCTTTGTGGTAAGGTTATAATTTGTTAATAATATTATTTTCTATCATAGACGTGGCCATTCGTTTAAAATGCTAACTGGCATATATATATATATATATATATATATATATATATATATATATATATATATATATATATATATATATATATATATATATATACATTTTCTTCTGTCCTCTATGGACAGTGTTAATCTGTTATATTAATAAGGTGTGCGAAAAATTGGGGGTTTGTTGGTTTGAAAAAAAACTGTTTTAAAAAATTGGTTTGTTATGGATTGAAGTAATGTTATTTTTTCTGTTGTTTTAAACAAAACAACTCACTGTTTATAACAGCAGCTCCTGCAACATATTGCTATCTTGCAATACGTGTTGATGCACGACCAAAACACAGGAAATCCGGTCTCCCAAACCTGCAGATTGAACAAGATATTCGACGGCATTTCCTTCAGTCTCAGTAGTTTTACGATGGCGTAAAATGTAACGAGGCAGTTGGGCAATTGGACTCGTTAGTGAGGGGGTAAGATATGTTCTGCTCGTTAATGATCCATTGATGATTATTTCTCATTTGTTGTTGGGTATGGCTGCTGGTGTGTTGATGTTTGTTGGTTGTTAGCTGGTGGTGGTTATTGTGGTGGGTTGTGGTGGGTGGTGATTATTGTGGTGGGTGGTGGTTGTTGTGGTGGGTGGTGGTTATTGTGGTGGGTGGTGGTTATTGTGGTGGGTTGTGGTTATTGTGGTGGGTGGTGGTTATTGTGCTGGGTGGTGATTATTGTGGTGGTTGGTGGTTATTGTGGTGGGTGGTGGTTGTTGTGGTGGGTGGTGGTTGTTGTGGTGGGTGGTGGTTGTTGTGGTGGGTGGTGGTTGTTGTGGTGGGTGGTGGTTATTGTGGTGGGTGGTGGTTATTGTGGTGGGTGGTGGTTATTGTGGTGGGTGGTGGTTGTTGTGGTGGGTGGTGGTTATTGTGGTGGGTGGTGGTTATTGTGGTGGGTGGTGGTTATTGTGGTGGGTGGTGGTTATTGTGGTGGGTGGTGGTTATTGTGGATGTGGGGTTGGTTACTGTGCTGGGTGGTGGTTATTGTGGTGGGTGGTGGTTATTGTGGTGGGTGGTGGTTGTTGGGTGGTGGTGGTTATTGTGGATGGGGGTTGGTTACTGTGCTGGGTGGTGGTTGTTGGGTGGTGGTGGTTATTGTGGATGGGGGGTTGGTTACTGTGCTGGGTGGTGATTGTTGGGTGGTGGTGGTTGTTGGGTGGTGGTAGTTATTGTGGTGGTTATTGCATTTTGGAAAGCAAAAAGATAGGCAATACAAAGAAGTGAACATTCACTTAGAGTTTAAATAGAGAAAGAAGCTGAAAAAAGAGAATTATGATCGTTTTGGATGTTGTATGAGATGAATATATCCTTCCTCCCCTCTCCCTGCCTCTCCCTGCCTCTCCCTGCCTCTCCCTGCCTCTCCCTGCCTCCCCCTGCCTCTCCCCCTGCCTTCTCCCTTCCACCCTCTAAATTCTCCCCTTACACAACACACTTTAAACGACCAATGAACGGATGAAATAGGCCAAAGAATCCGTCGAGTTGTGTGTGTGTCTAATCCTGCTGTCATTATCAAGCCATTTCTATGTCCACACCGCGGTCCTGTTAGGGAAAAGTCTGTTCCATAGACTGTGGACTTTACACAGACTTTTCCTGTTGGGGAAAAGTCTGTTCCATAGACTGTGGACTTTTCACAAACTTTTCCTCTTGTGGAAAAGTCTGTTCCATAGACTGTGGACTTTACACAGACTTTTCCTGTTGGGGAAAAGTTTGTTCCATAGACTGTGGACTTTTCACAGACTTCCTGTTGTGGAAAAGTCTGTTCCATAGACTGTGGACTTTTCACAAACTTTTCCTGTTGTGGAAAAATCTATTCCATAGTCTGTGGACTTTCCACAGACTTTTCCTGATATGGAAAAGTCTGTTCCATAGACTGCGGACTTTCCACAGATTTTTCCTGTTGTGGAAAAGTCTGTTCCAAAGACTGTGGACTTTCCACAGACTTTTTCTGTTGCGGAAAAGTCTGTTCCATAGACTGTGGACTTTCCACAGACTTTTCCTCTTGTGGAAAAGTCTGTTCCTTAGACTGTGGACTTTCCACAGCCTTTTCTTGTTGTGGAAAAGTCTGTTCCATAGACTGTGGACTTTCCACAGACTTTTCCTGTTGTGGAAAAGTCTGTTCCATAGACGGTGGACTTTCCACAGACTTTTCCTGATATGGAAAAGTCTGTTCCATAGACTGTGGACTTTCCACAGACTTTTCCTGTTGTGGAAAAGTCTGTTCCATAGACTGTGGACTTTCCACAGCCTTTTCTTGTTGTGGAAAAGTCTGTTCCATAGACTGTGGACTTTCGACAGACTTTTCCTGTTGTGGAAAAGTCTGTCCATAGTCTGTGGACTTTCCACAGACTCATTTCCTGTTCTGGAAAAGTCTGTTCCATACACTGTGGACTTTCCACAGCCTTTTCTTGTTGTGGAAAAGTCTGTTCCATAGATTGTGGACTTTCCACAGACTTTTCCTGTTGTGGAAAAGTCTGTTCCACAGTGCTGGGGAGCGTTCCTGGCTGCTTCGTTCACTCCCAATTACAGGCGACGAGGACATTTTTTTCAAAGGCATTCAGCATGCAGGAAAACTGTGAAAATCATTGAAATGTTTGTTATTTTCAGACAGTGAATGGTATTTATTATTTAGAGACAGTGAATTGGTCGTTAATATTGTTGTTGTTTTAGATTCAGCTACTCAGAACAATTAGTTCCAGTAGCACGGGCTATGGTGATCCCGTCTGTTCGATAATAGGCAATGAGTTAGTTATAATATATTTTATGAATGGATTAGGTCTGTGGCAGAGTTAGCCAGGAGACATTGTGTGATCAGAGGGAGTTAATTATATTAATTAAGTTAATTACAATAATTACTTGTAATTAACTTATGTTAATTAAGTTAATTATAATAAAGAAAATTTCACAGCCACGCGGCTGAACACATACACAACACACTGATAGTACTTATGGTGGCTATCTTATCTTGAGGTTATCTTGAGATGATTTCGGGGCTTTAGTGTCCCCGCGGCCCGGTCCTAGACCAGGCCTCCATCCCCAGGAAGCAGCCCGTGACAGCTGACTAACACCCAGGTACCTATTTTACTGCTAGGTAACAGGGGCATAGGGTGAAAGAAACACTGTCCATTGTTTCTCGCCGGCGCCCGGGATCGAACCCGGGACCACAGCATCACAAGTCCAGCGTGCTGTCCGCTCGGCCGACCGGCTCCCACTATGTGAGTGAAAATGCCCAACATGTTCTCATGAACCACCAAAAAATCAGTTTTTTATATACTTTTAATAATAAAAAGTTAGAAAAAAAAATATAGCTGAAAACCAAACTTAAATATTTCAAGGCCTAGTATAGGTACTATTTTAGGCCTAAGATAGTATGAACTAGGCTTAGGATTGCTAGAAGAAGTTAGATTTGGTTATATATGTATTGCTTTTAGAAAAGTTTCCCATTTGGTCTACATTAATAGAAAAGTGAACTTTTTGGTGGTTCATCACTACATATTGGTACTTCCAACCAAATAGTCACTATAAGTACTATCATTTTAAGAAGATAGGCTGAAAGAAAGCTGAGTCACAATGTACTGGATCCTTATCACTGAATGACAGCTGTATTCTCTACCTTGTAAGATTAGACTAACCTTCCAATACATTTGTATTGCAAGGCTAAAGCAGCCATATTGTAAGGCAGGCAGCCATATTGGATGGTTAAAGTAGCCATATTGGATGGTTAAAGTAGCCATATTGGATGGTTAAAGCAGCCATATTGTAAGGCTAAAGCAGCCATATTGTAAGGTTAAAGCAGCCATATTGTAAGGCAGGCAGCCATATTGTAAGGCTAAAGCAGCCATATTGTAAGGTTAAAGCAGCCATATTGGATGGTTAAAGTAACCATATTGCAAGGTTAAAACAGCCATATTGTAAGGTTAAAGTAGCCATATTGGATGGTTAAAGTAGCCATATTGGATGGTTAAAGCAGCCATATTGCAAGGTTAAAGCAGCCATATTGTAAGGTTAAAGCAGCCATATTGTAAGGTTAAAGCAGCCATATTGTAAGGTTAAAGCAGCCATATTGTAAGGTTAAAGCAGCCATATTGTAAGGTTAAAGCAGCCATATTGTAAGGTTAAAGCAGCCATATTGTAAGGTTAAAGCAGCCATATTGTAAGGTTAAAGCAGCCATATTGTAAGGTTAAAGCAGCCATATTGTAAGGTTAAAGCAGCCATATTGTAAGGTTAAAGCAGCCATATTGTAAGGTTAAAGCAGCCATATTGGATGGTTAAAGCAGCCATATTGGATGGTTAAAGCAGCCATATTGTAAGGTTAAAGCAGCCATATTGGATGGTTAAAGCAGCCATATTGGATGGTTAAAGCAGCCATATTGGATGGTTAAAGCAGCCATATTGGATGGTTAAAGCAGCCATATTGGAAGGCTAAAGCAGAATATTGGAAGGCTAAAGCAGCCATATTGGATGGTTAAAGTAACCATATTGGAAGATTAAAGCAGCTATATTGCAACGCTAGAACATCCATCTTGCAAACTTAGAGGATCTGTATTGCATGATTAGCAGTCTTGCACGGTTAGAATTGGATAATCCTCTCACCTATCCATCTCCTATCCCAGCTCTCAGTCTGACCTGATATCTCAGCTCTTAGCGTGTCTCACGCTGCTCCTCTAGATTAATCAAGTATAGATATTACAGCATTTAACATTTTGCCGTCAAATGGTGTTGATTAATCAGATTAAAATGTCCAAAATAATTTGTCTAAAATAATCTCATTTGGATTCCCTGAATAGAGAGAAGAAAATAACTCTGATGGTTATTATTATATTCCTCGAACTAAAACCCAGGGAAGAGGTTTTAGTTCGAGGAATATAATACCACCTCCATCCACATCTTTAATGCCCGATTCGACAAAGAATTTGAAAGTTAGAGTAGTTAGGTTGTAATGCAACAACCTAGGCTAATGGCTAGTAGCCTAGTTCAAGGCTAGTAGCCGGGACACTGATATAGAGTGAGAGAGAGAGAGAGAGAGAGACAGACAGACAGACAGACAGACAGACAGACAGACAGACAGACAGACAGACAGACAGACAGACAGAGAGAGAGAGAGAGAGAGAGAGAGAGAGAGAGAGAGAGAGAGAGAGAGAGAGAGAGAGAGAGAGAGAGAGAGAGAGAGAGAGAGAGAGAGAGAGAGACACATACTAGACATCAAAGAGCAATATCTCACTATTCTTTTTTCAAACTGAAGCGTTACAAATTTTAAACTAAAAATTCCAAAGTCATCAACAGACCTAAAGTGGCGTGACGACATCAATCAGAACAGCAACACAGCAGCACAGCAGCTGTGTGTCATAGATAAAACAGCACGTGAACAAATCCACAAGGGCCGTGACGAGGATTCGAACCTACGTACGAGAGCATCCCAGACGCTGCCTTAATCGACTACGAGCTACGACATGGTAAAAAGAATTGCAACCAGAAATTCTCCTGAATTTACTCGGATCCTGCAGCCTCTCCGAGACACAAACCAGGATTTTGGTTTTCAAACTATTGAGATTTCTGTGTGTAAAATAGCATGTCTCTAGTTCATCCACAGTTGTTATTGGTGAACAAACTGAAATGATGAACAGGATATCATGTAACAAATGTTAGAAATATAGCAAGAACACGTGAGTAAGAAAATAAAGTTTATTACAAGATCACAATAATAACTCCAACTCCAACAATATCATATAAAAAAAGTTATATATTTTTTTTTGATGACAATATAGCATACTCAATCTTGCCAAAAGAAAACGTGTGTATCGTAGTTAAAAAAAAAATAAGTTTTCTAGCGGAAACTATGATATAATTTCTGAATATTGTAGACTGTAAAATGGGATGATGCAAACTGCTTATGGAAAATACAGTCGCTATCATATTTAGTGTCTCATCATAATATAACCACACATTAATATATGAAAGAATATATTGCTATTGGGCATTTTAATTATACTTGCCCCCCCCCCCCCCTTTTACTTAATTACATAATTACATAGTTACTTATAATTGCACAGAAAACTCTGCGTCGAAATTTAATATGTAATATTTTAATATTATTATCCTAGAGTAGGGTAAGAGGTCTTGAGTGAAGTGAGGTTACTTGAGTACTCTTCAGTAGCTGCACTCTACTCTCATTCTGTTTTTCTTTCTTCTTTGTTTTGTTTTTCCTATTCGTACTTTTTCATTTCTCTTCCTTCTACTACTATTTCTCCTTGCATGAGAAATGCAAGGAGAAATTTCTCCTTGCAATCTCCTCCTACTATTTCTCTGTCTCTGTTGCCTCCCTCATCTCTCACATTCTTCTTCTGTATACATTCTGTCTCTGTCTCACTTCATGTAGGTCAGCGTTCAATCCCCGACCGTCCACCAAGTGGTTGGGCACCATTCCTTCCCTCCCGTCCCATCCCAAATCCTTATCCTGACCCCTTCCCAGTGCTATATAGTCGTGGTGGCCTGGTGCCTTTCCCTGATAATTCCCATACCTGTAATATCACACTCCCCCACGAAACTAAATCTCAAATATATTTTTTTCCAAAAATCTTCACTGAGATCCGGATAGATTCTACCGTGCTGAGTTCTCAAAATATCAAAGTTGCCCTGAATGATTCAATATATTGATTCTTTCTAGTTTTGACAACGAGACCATTTGACTACACCTGCTGTCAAATGGTGTAGTCAAATGTCTAATGTCTATTCGCAAGGTCACTTAAGGTGTGGTTTCAACTACAGAAAATCTCTCGCTGACTCGGTACAAGGCCCTTCGTAATCGCCTGTTCAGTAATGGGACGAATTGT